ATCACCTGGATGCAGCAATACCTGAAGCCTAAACACCCTGTACTTTTCAATTACATGAGCGAATAGATTTCCACCACCACTCCCTTCCGTCCTTCAGCTGATTTGATTGGGTTCTCATCACTTGCAATCAAAAGAATCTTTACTAATATGGAAACACTCATTTCTCTGACTTAGATCCTCTGCATTTCTAGACACAGAAGTACTTGCTCTCTAAGCTATAGGCAAGACACCCAGTCTGGCCAGGGCAAGGGGACTGAACAGAGGGAACTATGGGCGTGGGATTCTTTCAGCACAGGCCGGAGGTGGCAGGGTGGCTGGTGGAATTAGGGTCTCAAGGAAACTCATCCTATAAGTAAATTACAGTAAGTTGCAAATCACCACTCTAAGAGTGAGCTCCAGAAAAAAGGTAAGGAATGAAGTGAAGGGAGGACTGGGGCAGAATTCACGACCCCGGGAAACCTCGCTTTGGGGAGGCTGCCAAGACCGAACGCAAAACTCGCATGCGAGCTTCCTGGTGGCCAATGAAAAGGCAAAAGGCATGGGTTCCCCAGCCCACCTTCACTCAGACCACGTGTGACACTAATGGCTCTGCCAGGTGCCTCCTGGGACCCCGGCTTCCTGGCCCTGCGGCTGCACATGGGCCTGGGGAGCACGCTTTGCAGGCCTCGCAACCTGGGTCCTGAGGATTCTGGGGGCCCCACTGGTGTCTGCAGAGCAGAGGGATTTGCATGCTTTGTCCCTCGGGCACCAGGCCTCCAGGTCCGCAAGCTCTCTCCAAAACACTGTGGGGTCCCCCTCGCTGGCCATACAGCTGCTGGCTCTTGAACTCATAACTCACACTGAAAACAGCTCCCGAAACCCGGGTTCCAAAGACCTACCTCGTCCTTGGTTGCTTTTTGTTTTATCGCAAAATTTCCTTTTCTTGTTACTTAATAAAACACTCTTGCTGACTTCTCTGATTATTTCCCAGAAACGGTCACGTTTCTCCTCATGCCAGCGCAGTTTTTACTAAAAGCCCACAGTTCACTGGACCGTGTAGGAATTCTGCAGATGACTTTCTTTTTTCCTAAGTAGATCCGCCTCATTTTTCGGAGGAACTGGGGAAGAACAGACATCTTCCAGCCCGCTCTCACATCCCTTCTGGAATACAGGACTCTGGTCCCTGGGGGAAGAGACCGCGGCCCAGGGAGCTCTGTCTTCTCCAGCACTTCTCGGCTGGAGTCACAGGACCAGGCTGGGGGCGGAGATGGGACGGATGACATGGCAGCTGGGGCCGCCGCTGGTCTGGAATTGGTCTTGCTTGGTCCTGAGACACGGAGAAAAGCCGTGGCCCAGTGCTGGGCCACATTATGACTTTCATGGGCCCATTCCTCCATAAAATATATATTAAAAATTACATTTATGGCTGCAATGGTATAAAGACAAATATAACCCAGCCTAGAGTCATTCATATATCTTTATTATTATTGTACTCATTTTTTTCTTCTGATTTTAAAAGCAGTCAAAATGGAAGCATTTCGTGGGCCCCTAGAAGCACTGTGAGCTCCCGGCCCTGGGCCAGTGGGCCACCAATCACAGCCCAGCTCCCCGCCCTCGGGCCGCCCCGCTCTGTCCGACCACCCTCCTGCCAGGAACACGGGATTGGGAAGACAGCTCTGCTGTCCTGGCCCTGCACCCCTTCTCCTCCGCTGAAGAGTCTGAACCCCTCGGCCACAGCCTCCCTGTGACAGGGCTGGTGCCGGGGGCCATGATCTGCCCCTCTGTTTATTAAGGACAGCTAAGAATAACAGTAACAACAACGACATCCTGAATCTCAGGTGCCAGGCAGGTCAGCGCTTGGCTCTCTCCTGGTGGTGTGTTTCTCCCGGGTCTGTCCTCTCCCGGGCATGAATACAAACTCCTTTCTCCCCACCACTTGCTACTTGGTCTTATTACATCACCTGGCTGCTACATACGTCTCGGTTACTGTTTTCTGAGGACTTAAAAGTCTTCTCCTTCCATCCCTCACTCCTGCAGCTCATGCTGTGAAAGGAGCACAGGCCCTTGAAGCCAGCAGGAGCCAGGTTTAATCCCAGCTCCTCAACGAACCAGCTGTGTGACCTTGTGCAAGTCAATTAACCTCCCTGAGCCCTGCATTATTTATCTGCCTGAAATTACGGAGACAATCATTTTCTTTAGCAGTGGGACTCCCTGCTAGAAGGAAACTGGAGGTTTTTTTGAGGGTGAAAACCTTGGTAAGCCGTTTGAGGTAGGGGGAAGAGCCCCTCACCCCTACCCCGCGGGAGGCCTGCTTGAAGAACTGGAGATGGGGGCCTTGGGCTGACCCCCAGCTTCTGTTTAGTGACCGGAGTAATCAGGTTGAGGGGGAGGGCTGGATGCTTGGTGGAAGGAAAGAAAAGGGGAGAGGAAGGTGCTGACGAGGAAGAGGAGCCTGGATGCCCCGCAGCACATCACACCCCTCCTGTTCATCATCTCCTCTATCTGCTCTTTTCCCACCTTCCCCGTCTCGGGGCTACCACCACTCATCCCGTCCCTGGCCAAATGCCAGCCAGGGGACCCCCAGATCAGGGACTCTGGCCATCTGGACCTAAGAGCACCCTTCTCAGAATAATGTTTTCAGCTGCATAAAGTAAACACACAGGATTACAGAGGAAGCCAGTTATACTGAAATACAGTTAGCAAAATAGTCAAACACATTTGTTGTACAGGAATATGTGCTTCTTCATTAACATATTAGATAACAAGATGCGGCAGGAGCTTAACAAGCATCGCACTGTTGAGGGAGTGCATTTCAAGGTATCTGCCACAGCTGTAGGGTGGCATGAAAAACATGGATTACTGCTGGTGACTACATCGCAAGTGCCTCCTCTACCGTGAATGTTGCCTCCGTTCATACTTGAAGGACATGCTACATGTCAGTTACAAATTAGAGAAATAAAGATGTAAACTTTCCCCCAGGCTCATGGATCCCCTGAATTCCATGGACTCCCAACTAGGAACCCCCGACCTAGATTCTCTGTTTTCCATACCCACCCCCCGCCACCCACCTCTCCTAATCAGTCTGCAAGCCCTGCAGACTTCACCTCCTGGCTGGAGGGCGTGTGTCTGCTTCCCCCATTCCCACTGCCACTGCACCCGGTCGGGGCCTCATCCTTTCTCACCTCCTGGCTGGCCTCCTCACCTCCATTCTTGCTCCACTCCATCCGTGCCGCACCCTGAACACTCATCCCCAAATGCAAACCTGACCATATCGCCCTTTGCTCTGAATTTTAACGGCCCCCATTGCCTACATCGTAAAATATCTAAAGACCACTGCGAAGCACCAAGACCCTCACCCAGCTCGCCAGCCTCACTTCTCAACACTCCTACTCCCCATTGTCTGCCTTCCCGCCATTCTGAATTACTTGAAGTTTCCAGAATAGGCCACCCCACCAGGCCTTTGCCCATGCTGTTCCCTCCACCCGGAATGCCCTCCCCAAGTTGTCCATCAAGCAAACGTTTACATTTTTTCCAAGTCTCGGCGCAAATGGTGCCTTCCCCATGCCCCACCCCCACATCCCCGCCCCTGGGCAAACGCAGGTGCCCTCCTGCACGACCCTCCCCATGCCCGGTACATAGAGATGAACTCGCCATGTTATAATGGTGTCATGAGTCTGTGTCTCACAGGATTATAAACTTCAGAAGGGCAAAGACTGAGTCATCTTTCCTTTAACCCCCCAAACCTAGTACAGTGTCTGGTCCCAATAGGCCTTCAATGAATGTTGGTTGAGTAAACGAATAAAAGATGAAGAAAAGAATAAACAGCCACTCAGTCCAGAATAGCCGGGAATGGGGTGAGCAGGAGCCAAAAGTGACACTGCTATGCTAAGAGGACCACGATGTTTTTCTTTTCTTTTCTTTACTATTATGGTGGGATTTCCCACCTCCTGGGGATGACGTCTCGCATGTTCTGACACATGGAGCGTGTTATAATTTCTTGAATTCAGCTCTCTATTCTTTGAGGGATCCCTCTGTCATTTATATATACACCTTAATTAGGGGGTGATTACTTCCCTTACCAAAAGGCTCATCGTTTCGGTTTCATTAAATAGAGAGTTCTTCCAATGCGTGAAGAATAGGATTAGATTTATAGAAATTCAATTTACATTTGGCTTTTTAGGAACAGCTGTCTTCCGCAGCCAAGCCTGCTCTGTCAGGCCGCCTGGAGTGATAGCTTACAGGCTGCTCTCGCTCCCTCTGGCATGCTCCCTGCTTAACCCCTGACCACCTGCATCTACCGAAACTGCTCTGCGCGCCTGGCCACCCGATCCAGTGGCCTTTCCTTAGAGGCCTCCGTCTCCACCTGCCTGAGTCACAGGACGCTGCTGACCATCCCATTCTTCCTAAAACCCTCAAAATCCCTGGCTCTGTGCCCTTTGCTCGCAATCTCTGTCCCCCTCACCCCTGGGATTCCAGGTGCGTCTGTCCATCCGGCTTCCCGCTGGGCATGTTCACGCGGATGTCTCAAAGGCAAACAAGCTACAGCAGATGCGTGCCCTCCACCCCAACAGGCGCCCCTCTCGCACCCCCGCGAAAGACACCCCGCCCACCCATTCTCACCACCACCTCCCTCTCCCTCGTGCCACAAATTCAATCCATCACCCAGCCACACGGCGCTCCTCTCCTGCATACATCTCCAGCTAACCCACCTCTCTCTCCCACACATGCCAGCGTCCACCAGCGCTGGAGCTGTCTGTTGCTGCTCATTACTGAACCCCAGTCCTCAGCACAGCGCCTGGCACTGACAGACACTCAATACACACGTTCTGAATGAGCGAAGAAGGGAGGGGACAAACCCATTTTACAAACTGTAAAACTGAGGCTCAGAGGAGAGAAGTGACTGGCCAAGGTCACCCAGTTGGAACAACCCAGCCCAAGGGCAGCTCCGGTGCCCGCTTTCCCCTCTGCTCTAAGCACAGGCTGGTTCCGGAGTGGTCCGGCCCAGGCCTGCCCCGCCTTACCTGAGAGCACCGTGAAGACGGCTGCGAAGGCGTTGAGTTTGAGCCCGTCAATGACATTGCTGGAGTGGAACAGCTCCAGACACATGAGGCTGAAGCCCACCACCAGCAGGAGGATGTAGAGCACCTCGGAGACCACCGACAGCCACAGGACCCCTGCAGGACAGAGGCAGAGGCCGTGAGAGGGGGGACACACAGGGTGGGGGTGGGGGGAGCTCTCCCTGCGGGCATTCCACCCTGCCCTTTGGCCGGGGGTCAGGCCTTCCTGATGGGGAAGGCGATCGTGGCTACCCATCCTCCTCAGCAGGATCGGCTCAGGACGCTGAGCCTCAGTCAGCGGGAGCCTGGCACCCTTGGGGGACGGTTACTGGTCCAGGGTGGCCTGCAACCGCCAAGTGGACCCATTTGGACTGGAGGGAAGCACTTGTATCCTGTGGCTGGACCAGAGGCTCTCTTTCCCCTCTCATCTGTCGGATGACTGCTGCTGGGAGGCATCTCTGGCCAGGAGGGCACCTGCCCTAGGATGAAGCTGACGCTGTTGCTGAGCAGAGGATGGAAGGGTGACGTCACTGGGCCCAGTCACCAGCCACGAGGGCTTCCCTGTGGTTCACCTGGTCATTGTGACATTCTTTGTCACTTGTAGCATCACTGACTCACACACCTCACACTTGCCCTCAAGCAACGCCTTTTATCTGCCCTGTACCCTACTCCACTTTTTCTAGAAACCACCACTGCTATGCCCACAGCTTCAACCTTGTGGTTCTCCCAGGAGCTGCCATGTTCTGGTGTCATCCTGCCCTCCTGGGCACAGCTGATTGGTCCAGTATGATCATGTGACCTAGAATTGGCTGACCAAAACCCTCCTCTAGGAATCTGAGCTTGGAACCACTGAAGTAGACCAGAAGAGAGGCTCAGATGAGATTCCGAGCATTTGAACAGTGTAAGCACCTGGTTCCAGCTGTTCCTGGAGGCCAGCTGCACCCCTCTCCTTCCAGTGGTTTGGCTGTTCAAAGCTTGTTTGTAGTCCCTAAAATATCACAGCTCCCTTTTCTCCAAAATTGGTCCAAATTGAGTTACCATCATTTGCCACCTGGTTTAGGGAGCATCTTCTGTTTCTCCCATCCCACATTATTCCCCCTACTCCCTACATGCTTTTTCTTTGGAGAGCCCCTTCTTTCTCTCAGTCTACACAGGTCAACTGCAGCCAACCCACATCCTGGCTCCATGTTTGGGCACATGACTCATATCGGCCAATCAGAGCTCCATGCCCCCCTGACTCTAGTCATTGGTTCAGGACTCAACCTCTCTGTCCCTCAGTTTCTTCACCTATAAAATGGGGATAATAATAGCACCTATCTCATAGTATTGTCTTGCTGCAAGGATTCAATTACACAACAGTGTAAAGAGTTTGTGCTTAGCATACAGTGAGAGCTCAATTCATGTGTGTTATTACAGTTGTATGGGAGGAACATCGTGGGGACTGGAAATGGAGCCCAGGGGCTCTGGAGTGAGCTCAAGGCTAGAAGGAGAAATGAAATTGTGGGACCAGATACGATTTCTGAGAAAAAGGGTGGAGGATGGAACACAGCCACGTGACTTACCTTCCAAGCCACACTACCATATGGTTTGAGCAAGGCCCACACTTTAGAGAAGGGACTATGGACCAGGCTTGGCCAGCCAGAGATGGACATGACCCAAGTCAGTTCAACCGAGAGTCAGCCACAAGACTTTTGCTGGAGCTACTGGGAAAGAAAATTCCTTCCTTTCCACTGGGTTTGAGGCTGGGAAGATGTAAAGATGGAACTGACTGAGTCACCAAATGGGAAGGGCCTTCTTGAGAGCAGAGCCAATGCCAAGGAAGGCAGAGCCAAGAGATGGAAGAAGATTGTATCCTATGACATTGTTTGAGCCTCTAGATACAGCCATGCCTGAAGCTGCCTTCATCTGTTCTTTCAAACACATGATTAATTAATTCCTTGTCTTTGCCTAAGCCAGTCTGAGGTAGAATTTCTATCATTTACTACCCAGAGTCCTGATCTTCAGCTTTTCTGTCCTCTGAAACTGTCAAACGTGTCCTTCCTACCTCTCCACCTTTGCAGAAGTTGTCCCTTCCACCTGGAATGTCATAGGGGCATCCAATATATACTGTTTAGTATTGAAGCAAATAAACAACAATTTCTGAGTCCCTATCTGCTCCCTGACGAAGAATCCAGATTTTCAAACACCCACTATCATTCCTAGCACGACAGGGCTTTAGAGCTTTGGAGAACTTTTCTTTTTTTTCTTTTTCCTCTTTTCTTTTTTTTTTTTACGCTACAAAAATATCGCATCTCCTGGGCAATCCCTTGGATTTCTGAGAGAGAATCATGTGCTCTTGGCAGCCTGAATGTTGTTAAAACACCCCTAGCACCACGCACTCGCAGCCTCCTAGGCCCTCCACTGGCCCTGGGCCCACCAGGCAGCAGGGAGGAAGGCAGGAGATGTAGGGTGAGCCGGGCCGTGCCAGGAAGGCGGCCGTCCCCGGGGAGGCCTGGTCTCCCTCCAAGCAGCCTTCACCTCCAGCTGCTCTTGCCCTGCTGGTGGGCGGAGGCCGCCCCTCACCATGATGCGGCTCACTGACTCAGCCGCCTCCCGCACCACCCCCACTCCCCCTGGGGTGCTCTCCTCCTACCCTCGTGGGCCCCGGCGTGGCCTCCACCCCCTCCCACCTCCCCTCACAGCAGGGCCCAGCTCTGCTCTTTCAGATGAGATGGGAGACTGGATGGGCGCGGAGGGTTGGGATGCTCCGAGGGAAGTTAACCACGGAGAAACAGGCACTGGGATCTCAGACGCCTGGCTGGGTTTTTTATCCTTCTTATTCCCGCCAGATTTATTTCCCTATCTTCCCGCTGGGGCTCAGAGCATCTATCTGAAAGTTTCAGCCTGCCCAAGCCAAGGAAGTTAATAACAGTAAGAAGGATTGTTGTTGTTGTTATGCTAATAGTAGCAACAGTAGTCACAACAAGGGCCAACGGTCCTTAAGCATTTATCATATGCCAAGTTAGCTGGATACCGTTGATGCTCCACCCAATCTCCATGCGCCCCTTTTTTAGCATTTCTGTCTTTGAAGGATTGTTCCTGGGCCACTGGAGTCCGTTTTGCCCATCTGCATTCAGAAAGTGCCTAGAAACTCACATTTCCCTCTACACTGCCGTCATCAGGTAGCTGTCCACTGGCCCCGCCCTATGGCTCCAGCTGAGACGACCCTGGGATGTGACCCATGCTGCAAAGCCCCCGCAGGGTCCACACTGAAGCCGCCCTCCCTGGGCCTGGCCTGACATCATCCCCTAGTTGCCTTCTTCCCTTCCCTGTCCTGTGTCCGCAATTCCGTAACCACTCTCCCTGGGGCATTTCCTGTAGAAAAGACTTGCACAGGATCCTCATCTCAGGGTCTGCTTCTAGGGAATCGGACCTCAGACGCTAGTATCCACGTGCATTATCTCCCCCAATCATCCTAACAACTTTGCAAGGTAGCGATGTAGCACCCATTCTACAGATGAGCAAAGTTAGGTTCAGAAGGATTAAGCAACTGGTCTACACAGCTAGATAATATAATCTGGGTTCAAACTCAAGCCTCTCTGACTCCAGGAACCACTGTGGGTAGGGAGGTTGTAAGCTGGCAGGCTGGAGTGGCCACTTTGAGGTACATCATTCTCCACTCTTAGGCTGGTCACAGGGGACCGTCTGCATATGGGGCGTAGGGTCCCCTGGCCACAGCTCTCATCTACGTGCTTTCCAGCCTCCCAAACCATTCCTGAACCGGGATTCCTGCACGAGGATGGCCACGGAGTAGGATGAGGGGCATTCAGTTCTCAGCGATCCTGAGCCCAGCTGGCCACCAGGTGTGGTGGGGGAGGAGGCCACAGGGAAGGGCAGACGGGTCTTAGGACACTGGAAGCCAGGCTGGGGAGGTGGGTTTGACCCCTGCTGCAGGGACAGGTGCGGTCCTGAAGGTCTTAGCAAGGGAAAGACATGCCAGGAGGCCCGCTCTGGAAGGAAGCGTGGGTGAGGAGACCGTGGGAGGCTTCTGCTGCACTCCATGGGAGAGATGATGGTGGTCTGAGCCATGGCGATGGTGGGGGTGAAAACAAGTGGGGAACTTGATAACTCCCGAGGGGCGGGCTCAGTGGACTGCTGGCCCACGAATGTGGTGGCAAAGGAGACGGAGGAGTCCAGAGCTCGGCCATGTTTCCAGCTTGGGCAACGGAGCAGACGGTGATGTTCTTCACCGAGAATGGATGAGGCTAAGGCGGGGAGACAATGAGGCCACTCCTGCGCGTGCGGAGTCTACACTAGCTGCGGGACCTCCAGCAGGGCTGTCCAGGAGGCAGCTGGAGCTCAGACAGAGATGGGGGCATTGGCAAGCTGGAGGCACTCACTAAATATTTGCTGTGGTTGTCAGAGATGGTAGCTGAGGCATGGGAGCCGATGAGATGCCTGCAAAAAGCATGCAGAGCAAAAGAGCAAAGGGTGGGAGGTGGAATCCACAGGGAGGGGCGGGGTGGAGACTGTGAAGGTATAGAGCCCATGGGCCCTGCCCACCCCTGCCCTCAGCACCACGGTGCACTCTGACACCTGCCAGCTCCTGCACCTCTCTGCCCGAGGGCTTGCCCCATCTCCAGAGCCCACTCCGCCTTTACCCCCTTAGGGGCAGCTGGACGGCTGGGGACTGACACCACCCTGCCCTCCACCCCAGTAGCAGCCCTCAACCAACACCTGATGTGAGCTGGTGAGTAACACTGTGGGCACCATCAACACATCCTTGCTTCCCACCAGGGGAGAGCTGCTGTTAAGTGTGTCAAACCACAGCACTAAATTGTCTGAGTCAAAGAGTGAAAAGCTATTCACTTGTCCATCATTTTTAAAATTCTTATCACCTCAATCCAAAGAGTCTGTTTGGCGCTGATGTATCCTTAACACCTTTCTAACACTTGTTAATTGTTTAAAACAATGAGAGGGCTCAGAATCTTTGGCAGTTCCTAGGCCAACTGGAAGAATATTCTGACAGTTACCTTCTATGCTGGCGATTCTCTGTGGCTCCCATCCCGCCCCCTTGCCCCAGCCGGCTGCTCTCACCCTTCTCGCCCTGCCCTGTGCCCCAGGGGACTGGCTCCTTA